CCATGGTTTAACCCCAGGCAGCAACCAAGCCCTACACAGCCACTCACTGACTCCCTCACCATCAGTATCGGGGAGAGAATCAGAAGGGTAAAACCTAGAAGACTCATGGATTGAGATAACAACAATGTAATAGGGAAAGCAAAAACTGTGCAAGCAAAGCAAAACAAGGAATTAATTCACTGTTTCCCATGGGCAGGATGTGTTCAGCCATCTCCAGGACAGCAGGTCCCCATCACATGGAATGGTGACTTGGGAAGACCAGCACTCGAAACATCCCCCCCCCTTCCTTCTTCTTCCCCCCAGTTTATGTACAGAGCATGATATCATATTGTTTGGAATATCCTTTTGGTCAGTTGGGATTACCAGATCCTGCTGTGTCCCCTCCCAGTTTCCAGTGGACCCTCAGCCTCCTCACCAGCATGGCAGTATGAAAAGCAGAAAAGGACTTGACACTCCAACCACTGCTCAGCAATAACAAAAACATCTTTCTTCCACGGTCCACCTTGTCGACAGGCATCCCAGTCACCTGTGCAGGGCCTGATGTGAAGATAAGATGGAGCTTTCCAGTTTCTCTGGGTATCTGGATTTTTTTTTGAAAGATCTTTCCAGAAGACGTGCTTTCTAAAGAAAGGAGGAGATTTGGGATGTGATACTCTTTGTGTCTGTTTGCTAGCTATGCCTTCTTCTGTTCTTTTCAACATCTTGTGCTCAAGGAAAAGCTTCTCTTTTTTTCCCAGAATAGGCATGAATTTTTTATATTATAAAAGCTCCTTTCCTTCAACATTTTGATTTTGGGTTTTTTTAGTGTGAAAATTGCTTTGCATTCTAAATTCATTGAATTTTCATCTTTTATTATATATTCATATCTTTGATTCAGAAATTATTTCTCTCTAGCCACAGCATTGTCAGGAGAAGGGATTCACATTTTAACTCAGGCATTTCTGTTTGTAGCTGCTATTTCTTTTGAAGATGAAATCTAAAGAATTTTATTATGGAGTGAATTTATTGAAGAATTCTCTTTGCCATGAGTTGGGGATTGAAAAGAAATTCATTTGATGGTGCTGACAGCGTATCTAGGGAGAAATGTATATTCAGTAAAATAGCTCTATCCCTTTCTAGTCTATTATCAAGGCAGAAATTAGATAAGATATAGAATAGTAGTGAGCTACATGGGAAAGAATAGGAAGAGAGAGAGAACACAGATGGAAACCAGGGCTTTTGAGTGAAGGCAGAGATCTCTGAAAAGCTGTGCTGCCAGACCTCTCTGGCAGCTTTGGCTTCCTAGGGATCTGACAGTTGGTCCTGGCCACTGGTCTCACCAGAACACACAGTCAGCTGCTCCAACCTTATTGATCAAAAGTGACTGTACATGTCCTTACACCTGTGTCATGGTTTCCTTTCTTGCCTTTGTTTTTACACTCAGTGTTTCAATGGATTATTTTTTGTTTGATATTTTCAAAGCATCAATCATGCTGGGAGGTGTAGACAGTGCACAGGTTACACAATGCAGGTTGAGCACACATAGGCCATGTCTTTACCAGCTGGCTGTGACACTACAGCACCTGTTGTTATTTCACTTTGGGGTCGTGACCAGAAAATAACCTCGTTTTGAAATCATTCAGTGGTTCACGGATCATAGTAACCAGTGCACCCCAGAACACAGGTAATTTGTTTCTCACAAGCTTGAGAACATAATCCCAGCTACTGTTTCTAAAAGTTTTCAAACTATAATAAACTATAATAAGCTAAAGGAATTGCAGATTCAGAATTTCATTAGGAAGAAGTTAAGCAGAAATCGGTTTTACTTGGGTATGACAAAGGTATTAATTAAACTTGCTTGGATACTAGTAATAGAGTAATTTGTAAGCAAAAATCCCATTTAAAAGCAAAATTTCAGCGCCAATAAGTTGGTGACTGAAAAATAAAGAAGGATTGTGCAATTTATAGGAATCCCTTTTCTCTTAGGACAAGTCCATCCAATTAATGATCAAGATTTTACTGATCCTATATGTATGTGTATTATTCTGTTGCTGTTTTGTTTGTTGCTTTTTTAAATTTTGGCAATGTGTAAAGAATTCTCCCCTGTGATTTGAACTAGACTTATTTTCACTGCCAGTCTACCTGCCACTTTTGGTATAATACTTCAGGATCTTCCTGTTTGTATAGAGCATCATAGCAAACATCTTATAGATAAGATATTTGTCCACCAGCTGGTGATTTCTCTGGCCTTTTTCCTAGAAGGCCATTGGCATCAAAGGTTGGATCAGGTATGTTCCTTTGACACTAGTCTCCTACTTGTGGTTGTTTCCTTTTCCAAGGGCTTTATGGTTCCTTCTCATCTTTTGTTGGGCTATCATGTGGTGAAAGAAGAGCTATGGAACTCCCAGGAAAGTTGGCAATCAGGAGTGAGGTTGACACTGCTGGAATAATTCATCCTGCTCGTTGTCCAGATACTCATTAATTACTCCAGTAATTGCATCCAGCTGGATGTCCAGGACACTCCTGGTACAGGGTTTCCTTTTAACTTTTATTAAAACAGAAAACATGTCAAAACAATGAAGAGATCCTAAAGTAAGGGAACATTAAAACTTTCTGCATTAATTAAGCACTAGGAAGATGAAATAAGACAATTAATTAAGCATACATATGTGACTCCCTGTTGCACTGGAAAAATTGTTTTCTTTAGCTTCCATTGTTAGAATGATAGAATCATAGAATGGTTTGGATTGGAAGGGATGCTAAAGATCATCTAGTTTCCCCCTCCTGCCATGAGCAGGGGCAACGTTTACTAGACCACGTTGCTCAGAGCTCCATCCAACCTGGCCTTGAACACTTCCAGGAATGGCTAATTGCTTAATATAAAGTAGGTTGGGTTTAAACATGTGTTTAGATAATTGCTTTTAGCAACAGGTGATAGAAACTAAAAAGTAATTTTGCATAAATATGTGTGGGCATATTATATATGGTGGATGGAATGAAAAGCAAAGTAAATCTTATGAAAAGTACACAAGCTGAGCTTAATGGATGTGACAGCGTCACTGTGCTTATAACTCACAGTGTGTCCATGTAAGCACTTCCAACTCATGCATGGACTTTATTTAAAATATTTTATTATTTTGAATAGAATAGAATAGAATACAATACAATATTTCAGTTGAAAGGGACCTACAACAATCAGTGATCTGTTTAAAGGCTGACAGGTTGAGACACTGACCACTTCTCTAGGAAGCCAGTTCCAGTGTTTGACAACCCTCTTGGTATAGATGGCCACTGATGGGGAACTTATCTGACATATCATCAATAGATAAAAATTTTGATAAGTCCTGCATACCCTGGGAGAACCTTCCCATTGAATTAGCAAAGGTATGTGGTATTTCTGGTGCTGTAACAATATCCATAGAGACCAATCTTTGAGGCTGTAGAGAGCCCTACACATATGAATGTAATCACACAAATTCCACCCACAGACAATTTTTCTGAAACATTTTAGTTTTGAGCTGTTGTCATTAATATTTGGGAGTCATTGACGTTGACATTTGTGCTTGTTTGTGCTGGAGAGCTGTTGAACTCAGGAACATAATGTCCAGATCGTATGAAGTAGTGATTTATCTGTGTCACTCATTTCTTTAAGTAGAGCATAACAGTACATAAAAAACCACTCTTGGTTTCTCTCTGTTGTCCAGAATAAGTGGTATAAAATATGAATGCTTATGTCTGTCATTGTTCTGCTACTTTACAATATTAAGATACTTTATATTGCATCGTAGTTGAACATTAGAGTGGCCACAATGTGAGCACCTGGAGTCTGTCCTGATCCTGCAAGGAATTGTGCATGCTCATACCTTTCTGTTATTTACATGTTGTACTGGATATGAATAGCACTATATTCCTCAAGATAAACAAGGGTGAAGTAGCAGTAGAGTACTAAACTAAGGTAAACAAGCACTTTGTAAGTGTTTCTAGACAGAATCTCATAGTGCAGTTATCTTCTTAAAAAAAACCAAAAGCATAACAAAGAGCTTCCAGTTGCTTAGATTCATTTTTTCATAAGGCACAGGATAACCTATTCACTACTGAACTCATCAACTGAGTTCTTCAGGAAAAGACATCCTGTCAGGTGCTGCAAACAAAGCTACGAGCAGCATCAGTACTGTTAATGCCTCAGATAATGACTGCAAGACTTGCAAAATGATACATTATTATCTAGCAGGAATTAATCATAATTATGTCACTGATAAAGGTAAAGCATGTCAAATGTTGTATTTTAAATACACCCTTCAATTAGAAAAAATACCATGGAAATCATTTCAGTGGTAGCTGTGGGATCCTTCTGAATGCAAAATGTAAATGTTTTACATATCCTGAGGATGAAAGGAGTTATCACTCTAAACTATTCACTTACTAATTTTTATTTAATTGTCATGGTATATCAGACATTATAGATAATTCAGCATTTTTCTTTATGACACAGCAGAACCTTTATAACTATGCTCTGTGTAAAATGTAATTCCCTGGTTTACCTGCCTGCTGGGATTGAACTGCAGAATCTTAATTTGCTGTCATGGTTTCTGTGATCTTATGTCATATTGTTGCTACAATGAACGTGTTGCACATACAGCATAGCCTTCATCTTCTTAAGGCAGGGCACAGACCCTTTCATCCCTGCAAATGAATAATGAAACTAGGATTTTAATATATGTGCTTGCTTTTGGGTTTATTAGCTCTAACTGTGAAAACTAAATCAATTGTTTTGTATGCTCCATCCGACTAGCTGTTGAAGAAATGGACCAGAGTTTCCCATATGTCTCTTCTGTGGCTTTCAGCTCTCCCAAAATAGTACTGTTGTAGAAATGGGCTCTGCTGATTGAATAGGTGGCTTTTTTTTTAATCGTTACCAGCTTCAGGTTTGCATAAGGACCACAAATGTCATGTAAAATTAGGGAATCTTATTCTTCTGCTGTACATGCCTCACTAGAATTTGGTTTTTTTTGTTTCTGCAGACTCCAGAGGAAGGAGCCTCTACAACCATCTATGCAGCAGTATCACCTGAGATAGAAGGAGCTGGTGGCTGCTACCTTTACAATGAGGAAAGGACAAAATCGGCTGATGTAGCATATGATGAGGAGCTGCAGAGAAGGCTCTGGACAGAAAGCTGCAAGATGGTTGGGATTTCTGATGAAGCCAGCAGACTTCCCTAGAAGAAGCCGCTTTCAGGAGGAAAAATGAAATGCATTGACAAGCATCTTAGGTGAATTCTTGCAGCATCAGCCATCATCCTGGAAATCACTGTTCAGTCCCAAAGGCAAACATGAACAGCTCTGTTCTTCACTTGAACCCCTGGTCTGCTAGGGTGTGGGGGGAATATTCCCACAGAAAGATGTAGTGGTTGGTTTTAAATCTAACCATCAGTTTTGTAAATCATGATGTTTCAGTCCGTGATTAAAATACAATCTTTAGCCTTGTGCAGAGTTGAGTTTTCATTTTTTATTCAACAAAAATAAGATTTTCCCTGGTGAACATGTTGTGTCTGGGACATTTTGAAGTTAAGCCAGCTTTGTACATACAAGTCACTGGTTTTCAATAGTTTTTAAAGTTGCAACTTTATTTCCTTAAGCTTCATTAATCTTTAAGACACTGTATAATGAATGTCAGCTTGTTCTAATGCAGAAAATTGGCATTCATGATCATGATGTTGTTTCTATCATAACATTAGTTTTATATGTCAACTTCTATCCAGAGGTATTAACTGAAGGTCAGAAGCAAAATAAAAGTAAATAAATGAGGTCTTCTTCAGACAGCATATTGGATTCACTTGTTCACTGAATTCCACAGTTCCAGATAAAAGTTCATCTCTCCTTTAAAGGTGAGGAAAGGATCTAACACTGGTTTTGGCAGAGGATGCAGTCAGCCTAGTGTCTCATCACTGGGCTAAGATCACTTGTCCTCTTTTCTCCTTGCATCCACAACTTTTGTCATTTTCTTTGACAAGGAGATTTAGTCATGTACTGTTGCCTAAAGAATCACCTCCTTTTCTTGGTTTTGAACTTAGTTCATATGAGTTACGGTACTAGTGTTCATGGTTTGGAAGGGATAGCAAACAATTAATGCCAGCTCACTCTTTC